AATGGGATCTGGAATAAGTGTGGGCTCGGGAGCCCTGGAAGCCTAGTGAGTGAAGTGGGTCTTGAGCCAAAGCGGTGGCGGAAACGGCAGAGACCCAGGATACTTCACTCTCAAGTCCAGGTGGGCCTAGGCAGATATATGAGGTAATCGGCCTTCATTTCTACACTATAGGGTCCCCGAATCCGCACCTCCCCAGGACTCATGTAATTCAGCCTTGCACTCCGAAAAAAATGTGCGAATGAGAATGTGGGATTGGCAAGACTTCTTCCGCACAACCACCCTCCCACTGGCGGAGCGATCAAATCCACCTGGCATGGAGGAAGACGGAGGAGGAAGAGGAGAACGAAACGGGGCGATTGCGATCCAAACCGCAGGCTCCTGAGTAACAGCAAAGCGGTACCTGCTGCATGAAGACATGGAAGGATCTTAGCATTGCCACAGTGGGCAATCATCTGCGACCTCGCTGCAAGAGGGGCGGGCACGAGGAGAAGGACAACGACGAGGGCGACAGGCAGGGAGGGGAGAGCGAGGCAGGGACGGCCAGGCAGCCCACAGCAAAGGGCCCATGATCTGTGGGGCGCGCCCCCCGCTTGCCCCCCAGAGGGCGCCTGCACCCCCTCAGGGCCGATCATGCGGAAGAGCAAGGCGTTCTTCCTGCCCTCGCCGGCCATAAAGGAGAGACAGTTCCAGAGGGCGCCGGGAGGAGCGAGAGGAGAAAAAGGAACAGGAATCCATCGACCATTCGGAGTGTGTGAGACGCTTTTCCGTTCGTCGTCGTCGTCGTCGTCGCCGTCGTCGTCGTCGTCGTCGGCGTCGTCGTCGTCGGCGTCGGCGGCGTCGGCGGCGGCGTCGGCGTCCGCGCCGGCGTCGGCGTCGGCGTCGGCGTTGGCGTCGGCGTCGTCGACGGCGTCGTCGTCGTCGTTCCGCTCACCCCCTTTCCCTGGCTCTCCTCCTCAAGCAAATCCAGCCACATGGAAATCAAGCAGCGTCGTGTTTGATTCGGAAGGAAGCCCCTCCCCTTTGATCCCTTCCCTGCCGGGACGGGGGGGGAGCCAGCTGGTCCTGGTGGTCCCGAGGGTGGTCCCAGGTGGGGGGGGATCCCGGGGGTCGTGCCCCCCCCCCTGGGCGGCCTCCCCTGTGGAGAAGGGGGACGAGGGGGTGGTCTCCCTGTCGGCAGGGAAGCTCAGGGCCCCTCCCCCCGCCTCGGCTCCGGCCCTGGCCCTGGCCCCGGCCCAGGCCCTGGCCCTGGCCCTGGTCCCGGCCCCGGTCCGGGTAGGGGCCCTGGCCACGGCCCCTGGCCTCTCAGCTCCAGCCCCAGCAGCCGGCCCCCCGGCCCCAGCCCCGGCCCCACCCCTGGCGCCCGCACCGGCCGCAAGGCCTTTCCAATATATGGCTAGGCTTTATCAAGAATTCCTTGTCACCTCTGCTCGGGCGTCGGACCTCAAACGCGCGTTACGGGATCGTCTACGCTGGGCGGGCTTTGTAAAGCTATCACGCGTACCAATACTACAGACAGGGGTGACTCCACGATTCGAGGCATCTCTCTCGTACTGCGCACTTGCTAGTGGCACGTGTGGTCACCGCGCCTCGGCGGCGCGGCGAATAGCCGAGAGCCGGGAAGCCTTCGCATGTGACATCCGCCGCCAGGACATGGCTTTGCCAGATCTGCTCCAAGGGATGATGCCAGTGTTCGAAGGATGCCAAGGGTGACCACTTCGAGGGGGGCCAGTGATGCGCGCATGGCGTCTGCGCAGGAACGTGAACACTGCAGCAAATGCAGAATGAACGCTCAGTAAACGCACAGTGAACCTAAACTGAATGCTCAGTCCACGCACTACAAACTTTCTAGTGAATGACAAATTACGTACATTCGACATGCATTTCAAACTGTGATTGATGTTCAATGTGCGTTCACAACACACGTCCACTATGCATTAACCGTGCGTTTACTGCAGCACTGCGCGCATGGCGCACCGACGCCCTTGACGCTAATTGCTCACCTGCCGCACTTGGTGCACTCGACACACCTGCAGACCGATTATGTGAATCGGCGATAACCGGGGTTATCCGAGGGGGGGAGTGAGGAGGGGCTCGGCCGATACCTAAACCTTCGCGCTGTGGGCAGCCCTGCATACGCCCGCGCCCCCCCACCCCGGACCTGCACAACTGGCAAGGTTAGGTTATCCTGGGGGGGGGGAGGGGGGCAAGCCCGATAACCCGGGTTATCGCCGGACCCTAAAAAAACACTCGAGGCACGCCCAGAGCACTGGCGCATCTCGCGGACCCGCGCCCCCCTTCTCTTCGCGCCTTCTCGATAGCAGCACCTCCTGTCGACGGCTTTCGAACACTTCGTGCAAGCACAATACTTGATATTAGCTGTCATGGAGGTGTAAGGCAACTGTGCTCGCATGCGTTCGTGCGCGCATGCATTCCGGAAAAGAGAGCTGGCAACTTCGCGTCCCAACGGACTGTGGGAGCACGAACTGAACATCCTCTCCAAGAGGACCAGCCTTTTCCATGCCAGCCCCCGCCTCTGCGGGCCTCCTCGGAGCCGCCCCTCCCTGGTAACGGCCTTGCAGTGAGGGACTGAGCACTCGGCGCGAAGCCGTGCCCGCAGCGGTCGAAGCCGTGCCCGCGCCCGCCGCCACAATGCAGGCTGGCGCTGGAGTCGCTCAGGAGGACAGCGACGAACGTAGCTGCAGCGCCCGCTGCGCCCGCAGCGGTGGCAACGTAGCCGCAGCAGCTGAGCAGAGGGCGGCGGCCGCCTTGCGGTGGGCCGTGTCTACGGCCAGGGCAGTGGACGCCTCGGACGCGGCAGCGGCCGCCCGCGGCACCAGCCGCGACGCGCGGAGGGCTCGGCGGCAGTGCCTGGAGCCATCGGGCGGCAGGTCAAGCGCAGACCTCATGCAGCGGAGGCCGTCAAGCTCGAGGTGGTGGACGTTGTGCGGGAGATGGCGCACGAGGATGATGTTCCAGCATCGGCGGCGGGCCAGGGTAATAGTGGGGCAGGACGGAAGGAGGAAGATGGGACAAGAAAAGACAGCGCCTCATGAACCGTCGAGAGGACGGACGGCCTCATGGCCAGAAGAGCCTCGGCGGCAGAGCTGAGTGCTGAAAACTACTTGTGCCGGAGGAAGGCGAGGAGGAGCGGCGGGGGAGAAGGAAGAGGAGGAAGAGGAGGACGAGCAGGAGCAGGAGAAAGACGAAGAGGAGGAGCAGGAGGAGGAAGAGGAGGAGGAGGACGACGAGCAGGAGGAAGACGACGAGGAGGAGCAGGAGGAGGAAAAGGAGGAGGAGGAAAAGGAGGAACCATTGGAGCACACAACATTGGGCACACGAGGCCCCAGTGGTGTTTCTTCTGCTGCTGCTAATGCTACCTTCTCCTCCTCCTCCTCCTCCTCCTCCTCCTCCTCCTCCTCCTCCTCCTCGTCATCGTCATCATCACCATCATCATCATCATCATCATCAGCAGCAGCAGCAGCAGAATCACCATCACCCCACCACCAGCACCGCCACCACCACCATCATCAGCATAATCAGCATCATCATCATCATCATCACCACCATCATCATCATCAGCATCATCATCACCATCATCATCATCAACAACAACATCAACATCATCAGCATCAGCATCATCATCATCATCATCATCATAATCATCATCATCATCGTCATCATCATCATCAGCAGCAGCATCATCAGCATCATCATGAGCATCAGCATCATCCACATCCTCCTTAGTTAGCATCCTCCTCATAAGCATAAGCATCATCAGCAGCATCAGTATCATCATCATCAGCATCATCATCATCAACATACGCATCAGCATCATCATCATCATCATCAACAGCATCATCATCAGAAACACCGTCATTAAACAATCTCATCGTCTTCATCATCACCAGCAACACCATCATCATCACCATCGTCAGCAGCAGCATCAGCATCATCATCACCAGCATCATCGTCATCGGCGGCAGCAGCAGCAGTATCATCATCAGCATCATCAGCATCATCATCGTCGGCATCGTCAGCATCACCATCATCATCAGCATTATGATCATCCTCATGATCATCAGCAGGTCGTCAGCATGAGCATCATCATCATCATCATCATCATCGTCATCGTCATCATCAGCATCATCAGAGGCATCGGCATCAGCATCACCGTCCGTATCACCGACACCATCAATCCCAACATCATCATCGGCGTTAGCAGCATCATCACCAACACAATCAGCATCGTCATCATCATCATCAGCATCAGCACCATCATCATCATCATCATTATCATCATCATCGTCATCATCATCATCATCATCATCATCATCATCATCATCATCGCCATCACCATGATGATGATCATCATCATCATTACCAACACCATCATCACCATCATCATCATCATCTTCAGCATCCTCATCCTCATCCTCATCATAATCTTTGCCCTCATACTCATGACCACCATCATCATCAGCAGCAGCATCGTCATCATCGTCAGCATGAGCATCAATATAATCAGAATCCTCCTCATCATCATCACCAGCATCATCATCCTCGCCCTCATCCTCCTCCTCATCAGCATAATCATCATCGTCATCGGCAGCAGCAGCAGTATCATCATCAGCATCATCAGCATCATCATCGGCATCATCATCCTCATGCTCATCCTCATCCTCATCCTCGTTGTCACCACCATCATCATCATCATCATCGTCATCATCATCAGCATGATGATGATCATCATCAGCATCATCAGCATCAGCATCAGCATCAGCATCAGCATCAGCATCAGCATCAGCATCAGCATCAGCATCATCATCATCATCATCATCATCATCATCATCATCATCATCATCATCATCATCATCATCATCATCATTATCGTCGTCGTCGTCGCCGTCGTCGTCGTAGTCCTCGTCCTCGTCCTCGTTCTCCCCCTATTCGTTCCCCTCCCCCTTACCCGTTGCCGCGATCCTCTGCTCCAAGAAGCGAGCATGGTAGACGGGCAAGAAGGTGCTTTGCAGCTCCGCCAACAACGCGGCGGGGATCGGCTTCACACGCTTCCGGTCATTACCGTGTATGCGCGCGTTCAGCAGCACAATGCCCATCTGGTCCTGCAGCGGCGAAGCTCCCCAAGGCAACCCCTCGCCACGAAAACAGAACGATCACGTCGGGCGATGCCGCTCCCCCATTCGGGCTCCTAGGAGCCGTCACGGATCGATCTGGCCCACAACAAGAAAACAAAACATAAACAAAAACAAAAACAGCAAACAATCAAAATAAAACAATTAGCCTGGCGAAGGACCCACCTGGCGTCGTTGTGAGCATCGCCTTCGGTGGATCTCCTTCTGGGGCCACGAAGCGCATGAAGGGTGTACCGAAATGTGACGGGGCCGCCATGCAGCCGCTGCCACTGGGGCCTCCGAGCATCGCAAGGAAAATTAAATGAAAGAGGGGGACTAGCAATAAAGGCCGCTGGGGCCTGCGGTGGAGCACCCTGTAGGAGCACGAAACGTGTGAGAGGTTAGCCGAAATGGGAGATGGAACCGCATGCGGGCGATGCCACTGGGGCCTTCGGTGGGTCTCCCTGCGAGGCCACGAAACAACGTGTGAGGGTTTCGCCGAAATTTAGGTGGAACCGTATGCGGGCGCTGCCACTGGGGCCTGAGGTGGAGCCCCCTATGGGGCCACAAAACGTGTGAGGGGTGGACCGAAGTCAAGGGTGGAACCGCATGCGGGCGCTGCCACTGGGGCCTTCGGTGGAGCTCCCCACGGGCCACGAACCAAGGCATGAACGATTCTTGCCCCGGTGCCGGTGCCGGTGCCGGTGCCAGTGCCGGTGCCGGTGCCGGTGCCGGTGCCGGTGCCAATGCTGGTGCCGGTGCCGGTGCCGGTGCCGGTGCCGGTGCTGGTGCCGGTGCCGGTGCCGGTGCCGGTGCCGGTGCCCGGTGCCGGTGCCGGTGCCGGTGCCGGGTGCCGGTGCCCGGTGCCGGTGCCGGTGCCCGGTGCCCGGTGCCGGTGCCGGTGCCGGGGTGCCGGTGCCGGTGCCGGTGCCCGGTGCCGGTGCCGGTGCCGGTGCCCGGTGCCGGTGCCGGTGCCGGTGCCGGTGCCGGTGCCGGTGCCGGTGCCGGTGCCCGGTGCCGGTGGCCCGTAGCCGGTGCTGGTGCCAGTGCCGGTGCCGGTGCCGGTGCCGGTGCTGGTGCCGGTGGCCGGTGCTGGTGCGGGTTCTTGTTTTCCCAGAACATCCTCTCCTTCTCCCTCCCGCCTCCCGCCTCCCAGCATTGCCACTCCCGCCCCTCCAGGGAAGCCCCGCCTGAGCGAGGAGGGTAACGGAAACCCATACTATTTACATGGTTTCGTGCCCTTCCCACCTCTCCAGGGAGGCCCCGCCTGAGCGAGGAGGGTATCCCACCCCTCCAGCAGGGAGGCCCCGCCTGACTGAGCGAGGACAGTATCGGAAACCCATACTATTTACATGGTTTCGTGCCCCTCCCTCCCCTCCAGGGAGGCCCCGCCTGAGCGAGGAGGGAATCGGGAACCCGTACTATTTACATGGTTTCGTGCCCCTACCACCTCTCCATGGAGGCCCTGCCTGAGCGAGGACGGTATCGGAAATTAATACAGATTACATGGTTTCGTGCTCCTCCCACCCCTCCAGGCAGGCCCCGCCTGAGCGAGGAGGGTATCGGAAACCCATACTATTTACATGGTTCTGTGCCCTTTCCATCCGCCTGAGCGAGGAGGGTATCGGAAACCCATACTATTTACATGGTTTCGTGCCCTTCCCACCTCTCCAAGGACGCCCCGCCTGAGCGAGGAGGGTATCGGAAACCCATGCTATTTACATGGTTTCATGCCCCTCCCACCCCTCCAGGGAGGCCCCGCCTGAGCGAGGAGGGTATCGGAAACCCATGTTATTTACATGGTTTCGTGCCCCTACCACCTTTCCAGGGAGGCCCCGTCTGAGCGAGGAGGGTATCGGAAACCCATACTATTTAAATGGTTTCGTGCCCCTCCCACTGACATGGGTGAGGAGGAGGGGAGAACATTACCTATCCATCTCACGTCCTACTCCTCCCACTGAGGAGGGTGAGGAGGAGGGGGAGTTCTGCGATGAGGAAGGCTTCATCATGATGATGGTGATGACGATGGTTATACTGCTGTTCACGATGACGATGACGATGGCGATAATGGTGATGGACGATGACGATGGCGATAACGGTGATTATGATGATGATGCTGATGATGATGACGATGATGATGATGACGATGACGATGATGACAACGATGGCGACGACGACGAGGATGATGATGCAGATGCTGGTGATGATGACGATGCTGCTGCTGATGCTGACGTTGCTGGTGCTGTTGATGATGATGACGACGATGATGATGATCATGACGTCCACGATGATGCGGACGATGATGATGCCAAGGACGGTAATGGTGATGATGATGATGACGATGCTGATGATGATGATGATGCTGATGACGATGGTGGCGACGACGACGATGATGATGACGATGACGCTGGCGATGATGATGATGCTGATGATGATGAGGATGATGATGATGGTTATGATGATGCCAATGATGCTGACGATGAGGATGATGATGTTGATGATGTTGATACTGATGATGATGACGACGATGCTGATGATGACGACGACGACGGGGTGACGACGATGCTGCTGATGATGCTGATGATGACGACGATGATGCTGGTGATGATGATGATGATGATGATGATGATGATGATGATGATGATGATGACGATGATGATGCCGAGGATGAGGAGGACGAGGAGGAGCAGGACGACGAGGAGGAGGAGGAGGAGGAGGACTCGCTTGAACGAGGAGGGTCGCGGACAGCATTACTCTTTACCAGGTTTCGTAGGCCTCCCCCCTTCCAGCGGGGCCCCGCCAGAGCGAAGAGGGTATCAACAACCCGTACTATTTACAAGGCTTCGTTTCCTGAGCACCTGTCCTCCCTCCTCCTTTCTTTCGTCTGCCCTTTCGTGCGTACTTACTCGTTCGATGAGCTTCTCCTTCGTGTTGATGTTGTCGTACCCCATGGGTCCCACGAAACTGTTAATTTTTTTATGTGGGGAACTGCATTTGCATAATTTTACCATTGATTGGACTGCAATCGATTCCGCTGGGTTTGCACTTGATTGGCTTGCAACCGATTGGATTGCAACCGCTGGGGGGGCGCACAGGGCAGCGACGAGGAGGCGGCGACGGGACGGTGACGGCAACGAGCAAGGAACCGCCAGACCGACCCTCAGGCCAAGACGACGGGCGGCGACGACGCAGCAAGGGGGGGCGACGGCAAGGACGGAAAAACCAGACCGCCCCTCAAGCCCAGACGACGACGGGCGGCGACAGGGCGGCAACGGCGAGGAGGAGAGAGCCGCCAGACCGCCCCTCAGACGACCCAGCTAATACTAGGAAAGAAGAGAGAAGGCCCCCTAAGTGCAAGCACTGTTTTTCATCCGGTGCCAGTGCTGGCGCCGGCGCCGGTGCCGGTGCCGGTGCCGGTGCCAGGGCTGGTGCCGGTGCGGTTGCGGGTGCGGGTGCCAGTGCCGGTGCTGGCGCCGGCGACGGCGCTGGTGCCCGTGCCGGTGCCGGTGCCAATGCCGGTGCCGGTGCCGGTGCCCGCCGGTGCCGGTGCCGGTGCCGGTGCCGGTGCCGGTGCCGGTGCCGGTGCCGGTGCCGGTGCCGGTGCCGGTGCCGGTGCCGGTGCCAGTGCCGGTGCCGGTGCCGGTGCCGGTGCCGGTGCCGGTGCCGGTGCCGGTGCCGGTGCTGGTGCCGGTGCCGGTGCCGGTGCCGGTGGGCGAGAATCGTTCTATAGTGCACGAACCGTGTGAGACGTGGGCCTCATTTGGTGCTCCCTATGACACCACGAAGCGTGTGAGGGGTGTACCGAAAGGAGGGTGGAACCGCAAGTGGGCGCTGTCACTGGGCCTGCGGTGGAGCTCCCTATTATGCATGGGGCCACGAAACGTTTGAGGGTGTGCCGAAATGGAGGGTGGAACCGTATACCGGCGCTGCCACTGGGGCCTGAGGTGGAGTTCCCTGTGGGGGCACGAAACGTGTGAGGGGTGTACCGAAATGGAGGGTGGAACTGCATGTGGGCGGTGGCTTCAGGACTAGGGGGAGCTCCCTATGGGGTAACAAAACGTGTGAGGGGTGGACCGGAATGGAGGGTGGAACCGCACGCGGGCGCTGCCACTGGGGCCTTCTGTGGAGCTCCCTACGGGGCCACGAGCCGTGTGAGGCGCGAACCGAAATGGGAATGGAACCGCATGCGGGCGCTTCGGTGCAGCTCCCGATGGGACCACGAAACGTGTGAGGGGTGTGCCGGAAAAGCGACATGCGGAGGGTAAAGACACGGATAGGCTGGGAGGACGCGGAGGGAGGAGAGGAGGGTGAGGAGGAGGAGGAGGAGGAGAAGGAGGCGGAGGAGGAGGACACGTGGGGGCTGTCGCTTCAAAACGAGGACCCAACACCACAGGACGGTTAGGAAAAATGACGACGACGACGACGAACAGCAATCATGTTAAGACTGTTTGCTCTCATCTGCTCGCGTGTCACTCAACATGTATATCCCAAACCCTCGACACCCGCCCTATCCGTTACCGATCGTACCCCCTTGGGGGCATCTCTTCCTTACCTGCCACGTGTAGTTGGCGCAGCCCCTGAAACAGGGGGAGGGGGGAGGAGGGACGACAATGGGGAGGGAAAAGGATGGAGCACTAGAGAAATTGGCTGGAGGGGACGAAGGAGCAGGAGAACCATCGGCTGATCTAGACGAGCGGGTCGGGCGGATGGATCCTAACGGGCGACAACAAAAACTGAAGGGCGCCGCTGGGGCCGGGGACCCGAAATCTAAGACCCAAGACCTGAAAACCGAGACCAGAAGCCTGGGACCCGAAACCCAAAACCCGGGACCCGCGGGACCCGAAGACCGAAACCCGAGCCCAGGGAATCGGGGCCCAGGACACGGGACCCGAGACCCCAAGCCGAAGCCGAAGCCCAAGCCCCAGACCTGGACCCGGGACCCGGAAACCGAGACCTGGGACCCGATCAGACGAAACCCGAGGCCTGGCACC